TACGTATATGTAATTGGCTATAGCACAGAATAATACTAGTTATATGTCTGTATTATATAGATATAGTTTTCAATATTACCTAATACAGGTAATATCGTGTAGTTACTTCAATGTGCATTAACATGTATGTATGATAATGCTAAATATTCTACGTAGAGACATTTAATGCATAAAGTATTGTTTATAATATGCATTCAACATCAGTGCTCAAAAAAGTAGAACCATTTCTAATTCAGAATTGTTTTTATTTTGTTTTTATACATTAATGCATTTTTGTTAATGTTTGGCGTAAACTTCTAATGGGTAATTCTATAGAATAATGCTACTTTCTAAACCTTAAAAAACAAAACATTTGGTACGTACGTACGTATTACATATGTATGAACCTTTCTGAACCGGTCAACTCCGATATCAAAAACTAATGATAGCGATAAATGACGATAAATCCCTACATCAAATATAGTTTAAGCGCACATACATGCCACATAGGCTTTATTACATAAAGACATATATACAGTAAAATATATATGTATATATATATGATATATATGTACGTATACATATGATATATGTATTATGATATATATGTATATGATATATATGTTCTATACTACTGCATATTATATATATATACAATCTATATACTATAGTGTATACGAGATTTTGTACACCATGTGTCAAATGCGGGGAACGTACGTACGTACGTACGTACGCAAGATAAAGATATGATTTAACGTTAGAGTTTCAATGAGAAAGAATCCAAATATGTATAAAGAGCCCTTCTAGCATAATGCACGGTAAGGATGTAAGGCAAGGTTACTAGAGTCAAACCTTCCTAAGTGTACCTCTCCTTAAAAATGCACACACCAACTTAATTCCAAACTTGGGACTTGGTGAACACCCTTCGCTTTTCACACGTGCATAATATTTTACAGTTCGAACTTATACATAAGAGCAACCACGTGATTTACAAAAATTAGACCAATTAACTATGGATCTAAAGTTAGAAAAATTCTGTATAATTTTGTAAATTCTGTACGTATAATTCTGTAAATTCTGTGTAATTCTACAATGTACACTCCCTCTAAGTGCAACTTATCTTTAGTTCTAAGGACGTGCGCTAAAGGAAGTTGACTATATATATAAGCATATGATTATCATAAAGAATTACCTATAAATTGTTTGATTATCATAAAGAATTACCTATAGATTGTTTCTATAGCCAAAACAAGTAATTTACAAATTCGATCGTCGATTGTCAATTTTTTCACAATAAAAATTTCAACATTCGTTTACATTTAGTTCTGTAGTTGAGACTATAAAAAGATTTTCATGATTCGACCCAACAATTTTAAATGAATTATGATGAATAATGGTAAATACTTATAAGTAGATTTATAAGTAGATTTATATGTAGATTTATATGTAGATTTATAAGTAGATTTATATGTAGATTTATATGTAGATTTATAAGTAGATTTATAAATAGTTCATGTTTATTACTTTAATGATTGTAATAATGATCTTACTTCAATCGTACGTATCAAAATTTAAATAATAATAATTGATATTATATGGTCCAATTGGTGTACTTTTTGTCCATTAATTATCATTTATCGTTATGTTGATTATTTACAAGATCAAATGTCATGTCATGTGAATGGCTAAGGTATGTACGTACATAAATAACCAAGCCTTAAACGAAGAAGCCACTATAACTTGGCCTCCCGGATTCCTAGAAACAGAAATGATCCGATATTTCGTTTAAACTGGTTATATATTACCCCCCGAAGAAATTAATCTTATAAATTTTCTGGGTCCTTGATCACATTATAAATCCCAAGCCCCTACAACTATTTCTATTACCTATCCTGAATACCTATCCTGAATGTGTTTCAAAGCCTTCGAGGCGAGTAGAATATGTCGTTAAAACCTGAAATGTTTCTTATTATTAATGTATCCACCTATTTGAAGAGGATAATCATTTGATTGGAAAGCTTTTAACACAACGCTTTAGGGAAACAAAATTTTGATGATTTCTGGTCATACAAACACAAAAATCTGTTTATTTTTATTTTCTTCTTTTTGTTACTGGTGCAGTAAATATGTGGATCATTCAAATAACTTGTCGCGAGGTAAAAGTTTTTCGATTGGTCTTTAATAAATTAACTTTATTTGATTAAATAAATAATCACAAAGCCTCGATCACACGGCCACTTGAACTGTTTAAAAAACTTTAGATCTTAGTCTTATCTTAGTCTCAGGATCACAAACCACAAATGTTCTGGAATTTTTGTAATTATCCATTTACGTGCTACCTATTTTAAATAATGATTTATGCACTTGTATCGATCATTTAAACTTCTGTAACACCTCAAGTACATTTACTTGTTCACATTTGTATTTTTTTTTTTTTTTTTTTTTTTTGTTATATTTGTTATTTGATATACATACAAGTTTTTTTATGCGTGTAATACTTTATTTTACAGTAACTGATGATTATATATGCTGATATGAATGAATTGATGAAATGGAAAAAAAAACTTTCCTGTTGCCGTTGCTTTTCCTATTTCCATTTACTTATCTGATACCTCATTTGTTTTTTTTTTTAATCCCTGTTTTCTTTTATTAACTAAATCTCCGCATTTTTTTCTTGTTCTGTTAGGCTAATAATCCTCATCATCAGCCTTGAGCATTTTAATATTTTATTTTTATGCTCTCGTTAGGTCTCCTTCTGATTTTTAATGCAATAATGAAAAAAATGCTATTCCTATTATGGTAAAAAACATTTTCTATTAGCAATATTGATTTAAGTATTGTAACGTGCTCAAACACTACCCATAATAACTTTATTTCGTTTTCTTCCTCTTATTTTTATTTCAAAAGTCCTTTTTGCTTAAATTTTTAAAATAATCATACCGACCTTTGATGCTTTATTTTTTTTTTTTTCTCTTATTTTAAATGTGTATTAGCAAAAATTTTTGTTAAATAATTTAATTTTTGTTGGTTGCGTACAATTTTTTTTTTCTAACTTTTTAAAATTCGTAATCCTTTTTCCATTTTTCCATCAAACGATCGTGATTACTATTTGATAATCCACTTCTAAATATCCTCATTGTTAATCCGTAATTATTAAAATATATAATTGACATAACGCGTTTTCTATTTCATTCACAAATGAATTCTTTCGCAAAAATAAGGACGTTATTAATACCATGCTTCCTTTTAATTTCATACATCTATTCATTACCTTTTCGTTTTCTATTATCATTTTCATATTCTCATGTCTCCTTTTCCACGTTTATCTCGCTCACTTTTTTATCCACAATATCTTTATTACCACAAACTTCCGCTCAAGGTGTATTGATGCCTCCTTGTCTATCTCTGGATCAATCTACCACATGTCCAGCATTTGCAAATTATTCTATATCATCAGAAATAATAACCGCTTCTGATGAAACTGGTCAATCATTTGCTTGGTTATCAGCTGCTTCCAATGTTTCTCAATTTGATTCTCTTTTACGATCTTATGTAAATGAACAATATATTTCATGGAGGTACAACCAATCTTTAGGTTGTTCAAATACAAACACTTCAATGTATGCTAGGTACACTTATACAATGATTTGTGCCGAATTGGTAGAATTTTCTTTATCTAGACAATGTAGTAATTCAATTACTGCAATAACTGGTCAACCAGTTAAAAGTTTATGTAATTCTACCTGTGCTTCTCATGCTTCTTCGGTTTTAGCTATTGCTTATGATCCAACTGTTTGTCCTCCTCCTAATAATACCGGTCTTCAATCTTTGGTAAATTTAATAAAATGGTGTGGTAATGAATCTAATGTCGATTCAAATAATTCTACTTGTATTTCGGGTGATTTAAATGAACCGAATTGTGGTATGTATTGTAATATTTCTTTAAAAAAATAACTCGCGTTTATACGTAAAAAAAGTGGATTAAGGATAATCATAATGATGATAATTTAACTGATGTCATATCAGTAAATAATACTCGTTAACAAATCTAATTTATTATTTGATTAATATAATTTGGTTTTGATAATTAAGATAATGAATTAATTAACTATATAAATAAATATTCTAGATAGACGATAATGGATCGATATATGTTAATCATAGTAATCATAGTAATTTATAGTAATTCATAGTAATTCATAGAAATTCATAGTAACTCATCATACTCATAATAATTCATAATAACTCATCATACTCATAATAATTCATAATAACTCATCATACTCATAATAATTCATAATAATTCATAATAATTCATAATAATTCTAATAATTACAATTTTCTTTTTATCTATAAATAGGTTACGGTCAAGATATCAATTCATTATGTCAATATTGTAGCAATCAAGCTCAAGATAATTGTTGTCTTCAATCATCTATCTTATCACAATGTAATATCACAAAACCATCTTCTACAATACCTTTTCCAATTCCAACCTCTTCTCACAATTCTTCGTCAGATTCAAATAATCAACCTTCATTGGCTATTACTATGTTAATAGCAATATTTGCTTCAATATTTGGTGCTTTCTTATTATTTAGTATAATATTTTGTTGTTTTATTAAAAAAAGCAAAATTCGGAAGAAAAATGGTGTGGCTGGTGGTCCGGATTCAGGTGATGATGGTGGTGAGACTGGTATTGCTACTAAGAGCATTCCATCTTACTCACCTGCTCCTTTTTATTCTAGACCACCTGGTGGTGGTGATTTTGACCAAAGTTCCGAAAATCTTAGATATTCGGATCTGGTCTCTCCTGGTACTACTGTGGGTGGTGGAAGTGATACCGGTGCTAGACAAAAATCCGTTTCAATTAATGATTCCGCTCCAAGATCTATTCCTGAAAGAACTTCTCTTATTTTACCCGTTAGTAGTGATTCCGTTATTTCCGCTGAACCTGAACGTGTAACCGTCGTTTATAAATATGATGCCTCTTTGGCTGATGAATTGGATATTTCCCCTAATGATGTTATCGATATTGCTCAAAAGTTTGATGATGGTTGGGCTGTTGGTGTAAATAGAAATACCGGAAAAGCTGGTGCTTTCCCTATGGTTTGTGTTTCTCCTGCTGGAAATGTTTCTTCTGGAAATACCAATAATGGTGCTGATCAATTTGGTGGAAGTGGTTATTCTGGAATAATTGGTAATAATGGTGGTGATGAAAACAATACTGAACAAAGTGTTACTTTAGAATCAAGTGAACATAGTGGTATACTTAGGAATAGTTATAGTAGCGGTACGGGTGGTGGTACTATGGTAACTCCGGACATTTCTAGAAGAGTTAGCAGTGGAGTAACTTCTTCTCTTTCTCCATTACCATCTGATGGTGGTGAAACTCCTCCACCTGGGGATAATGTCTAGCCCTGTTTGTTTGTTTTTTCTTAATTCAATCCCAATAATCCCAATATTACCCTATCTAGAGACTTAATACTCTTGGTCCGAATTTATGATAAGAATCCGGTTCTGTTCTGGATCAATCTTTTATTATAAATTCAGACAAATTTATAATCAGGTTCGGAAAAATAAGGGTCCTCATAATATAGGGTGTAAACGCTGTGGTGTGGTGTAGTGTAGTGTAGGTCATAGAATTAATTAGGTCATTTGTGTGTACTTTTTCCGAGACTGAGGTTTATGGTAATTGGATAATAGAATTTGTACATTTCCTTTTTTTTTTCTTAAAAAAAAAAAAAAAAGGGTTCTTGTATTATAGTATTTAAAAGTGCGCAATTGCACAACAAAAGTAGATAATTAAATCATCTTTATAATTACTAGTTGTAAATTTATTGATTTTTTTGATTATTGAAAACATAACCGGATACGTGTAACAAATGATAGGATTCAGGTCGAAAAGGCAGTGTTAGATTTGACGGTAAAGTTTCAGCTAGTATGGCTAGTATACACTTCTTCAAGACAAGTAATTATATAATCGCATTACATTGAGACTGTTAGACAAATATCGGATATGATTTTTTAACAATAGTTTTGGGTTAGATTTATACAGTTTTACGGTTGTTTTCATAGATTCTTGGATAATTGAATCAAATCAGAATTAATAGTTCAAACTCGTTCATCGGTAATGTTTTCAGTTTGTTCCAAAATTTATGAAAACAGTTGTAACAGTGATTCCCTATAATAACTCGTAGAAAATTCGAGGAATTGACAATTTTGAATATATAAGATCCACTTTATTAGTTGTGCCAGGGGTACTTGTATTTATGTAAGCAATAAAATATTTACAATTGAGCAAAACATATAACCTATATTTATAATATGGGTGAGTACACAGCAAAACCATGCTTAGAGTATATATACATACACTCAAAGTATGGTTTTGCTATGTATTTACCCATATCTACTACCAGTATATATCCTATCTTCTACATATAATCTAAACGACTTTTTTTTATCTATCGCATTCGCCACACATTCGCTACTTCAGCAGAGACAGTGCCCCTACGTAGATCTTCATTTAACTTTACATAATTTATAAAAAATTTTTTTATATAATTTAAAATGCTTCTAACATCTTGTATTACTCAATTGCACTATTAGCTACTTTGCAGAATCTAATTTTTCGAAAATATAATTACAATAAAGTTAATATACAGTACAGACCCCTGTTTTATCCCTTAGTTAGTCTTTATTCTGCTTTCTATCTTGGTTTAACCCTACTATTGCCTTATCACTAACTATACAAACTATACAATCTACTTTTGCCTTTGTAAAGTTTATTCAAACCTTAGTACTCTTCAAGTCTATTTGGTACTTTTCACTTTTAGTATTCTTTAGTTGGTTTTCTTAAAATTCAGATAGCTCAGAAAAGACACCAGTCTTTTAGTATTTATATAGTAGATCTTTTTCTTCTAGTTAATACTCTTGTAGTCTGGTTGGTGAAGTACTCTTGCTAAGCACTTAGTTTTTATTCAGTTATACCAATCTTAGGTGTAGCCTATTTTAGTTAATACTGTTATATTAGTAGATTTTATTAGCATATTTTATAAGATTTTATTAGTCTATTTTATTAGTATAATTTGTATTTATTATATGTTTATTTTTAGCTTTAGTTTATTAGTCACAAATAGTAGTAATTTTAGTATAATATTAGGTATGTTAACAGGTACGTTAACAGGTACATTAACTGGTACGTTAACTGGTATGTTAACAGATACGTTAACTGGTATGTTAACTGGGTCGTTAACTGGGTTGTTAAAAGGGTCGTTAACTGGGTTGTTAAAAGGGTCGTTAACTAGGTTGTTAAAAGGGTCATTAACTGGGTTGTTAAAAGGGTCGTT